AAAAATACAAATTTATAAACAATCCTTAATGAAATTATCCAACATGACAGACAGACGATTATGATTGACAATAATTAGACTCCACAACTTAACACGTGATACAAATTCGATCGACGACCAGTTTTGCGAAATGACAATAATTAGAGTCCACGTCTTAATAAGTGATGCATAAAGAAAACATTGTTTATAGGTTGACGTGTGGAGGTACATAATGTCTCACTATATGTCTATCAGCTAAACATACTGATGACAAATCAAAATCACGGTAGTTAGGTGTCAAGTTTCCAACAGGACAGAGAGATGACAGCAACCCCAGCCAAATGATAACTCCCAAGTCACATGAGGATTACTTATTTGAAAGATGCTGCATGCATAGTCGTTAATGGACGGTAAATTTTACAATCCTGACTGATTAGCGTGGGCCCCACTAATTAATTTGGGACCTACGCTAATCAGTCAGGACTGTACATTTTATAGTCCATTAATGACTGTACAAAGAGAAAAATTCTACTTATTTTTGCTTCAAGAATGCATTTTTTATGTGATTGATAATATGTGATTGAAAAAAAAAAGAAATATTATTTATGTGATGGAAAATATTATTTTGTTGAAAAATGTATTGTTAAAAATGAGTACAAGAATGAGAATGAAAAAAATAATGTGCCTCAGACAAGGGCTAAATAACAATTTTAATCCATTTGTACATAATGGATTACCCTCTCTCACATAATACGCGGGGCTCGCGTGTATTTAAAAATTTCGACAATATAGTCCACATCCCCATTGTGAGTAGTAAGTAAAAGATTCAGTAAAAAAATTCGATACATGTAGCATGATCCAAATAACAAAGTGCTTCTAACCAGATTTGGCTTTATGTTACAGGGCTTGTTTTGAACTCACTTCTACTGTTGAGGTTAAATTAAGATCACTTCAAGGTCATTTTTACCATTGGAGTCGTTGCGAAACAACCGTGAACGCTGTAAATGAACAATGGACGAAAATCAAGATTAAGGTTTTTCGGTTTGTTCGTAATGTTGAGGGTTTAATTATGAGCGAGATTTTAGGGATTTTTGATTAAAGGTAAAGTGCTGCTAGGATAAACAAGGTAACCAAATCTATAATAATATTGTAATAGCAACAATATATTTTATGGAATACATAACTTCCATCAAAATTTTAAACATATATTTAATCAACTTTTACCAAAATTTATTAAAAAATTATTTTTTAACAAAATCAAATTGAGGCTCAATAAGTTTACTTTTAGGTAATTAACCCATATCTTGTGCCCAAAAACTGATTGATCCAACAAGACTACTCCATTCAAGATTTTTGGAGAATAGATTTTGAAGAAAAAAAATTAAATTTATATGTACAATACATTTTTTTTTTTAGAAAACATGTAGTTGAAAATGAGTTTTAAAAAACAAGGGAATGTACTCTTTGCCGTTTTCTATTTTCGATTTTTCAAAACAGTGAAAATGCATTCTTTTTTCGAAAACGATTTTTGAAAACAAATTTAAAATTTACAAAGAAAACTCAAAACGTGTTTTCAGTTATAACTTGACCAAAACACGTTTTCGTTGTTTTCAGTTACTATCACCCCCAACCACCACCATTGCCGCCTACAAAACACCACCAACTGTCGTCGCCACCCCAACATGACCTCAACCACCAACATCGTCAAAACCACCACCACAGCTACAACATCACCCCAACCAATACCACCGTCTCCGAACCACCACACAATACACCACCACCACAACACAACCACCAGATCACCAACCACAGTCACCACCACAAAAACCGCCACCACACGGTGCCACCACCGTCATCAACACCAACCACCATCATCCTCACCAACCACAAGTTTAGCCATAAAATCAGCGAGCTGTGATTGAAATTGGGCTTGACCCATGATTGGGTTAAGTGCGGAAGAGGGAAAGGGAGATGACCCATGTGGTCCGCGATCATAGTTGAACGAACGTCGCAAGAATCACAGATTTCTTTGGACTGCGCGAGACGGGATCGCGACCCTTATTTCGATTAATTGTTGTTTGGACTAAATTGAGGGTTGTTTCTGAGTCACCCGGAGGTGGATAGTCGACTGGTGGTGATCCGCGATGAAGACTGTGGTCGGACGATGGGGTTCCAGTAGGTTACAGAGAGGGTGGAAGAATTGAGAGAGACGAGTGAGAATGTAATTTAGAATTTTTTATTTTTCAAAACTATTTTTAAAAATGGCAAAAAAAAACATATTTTCAATAATCTCAAAATTAACACTCAAAACACAAAATCAAAAATGAATTCAAAACAAAAAACAAAAAAATTGAGATACGAAGAAAACATCCCCTAAACTTTTGAAAAATGAGGTCAAAGAACTGAAGAAGGTCTTAAAATTTGACTAATGATCAACGGTTTATCTAAAACCAGCGTCCACTGTCCACACCTACGGTTGAAACTGAACCGGACGGTCCACTAATTATTTGAGATTTTTCCAATCCCCCAAAACAAAGAAGTGTATCAGCCATCGGAAGAAAAAATTTCACGAATCATGATTGAAAACAGATTGATTCACTTCTGGGGAAAACCAAATCCTTCACCAAAAGTTTGCCTCTGAGGGAATGTAAAACATTTTCTACTGTAAATGGATTATCCAATGAATCTTCATTATTAATCCAATCAAGATTTTACTCTTCATTTCCCAACCTCGTTCCTGCTTCTAGAAGTGCCATTACACAAAATATTATCATAATGGTTTCAGAAGCTTTCATCATCACAATATCAAGGTATTTGGATTTTTTACTCTTGTTTTATTGATGTCATTTCATACGGTTTTTCGGTGAAGATTAAAGTTAATATGCATTGCACCTTTCTAACAGATTAAGGTTTTAGATGGAGATATTAAAAACACATGAGTTCAAGTTTTGCTGCCATCGATTTATGAAAATTAAGAATGCTGTCTGCATATGAAGGAATGTGTTTAAAGACAAGGTTTGAATGAATACACGGGGTTCTCTCTAACTGTTTAAGCTTTTAATGAAAGGGTTGACAATTATTATAATCATCTCAATTAAATGGGAAAACATTGAGGTTAGCCAAACATGTTCTTAGCATGCATAGTTGTCGCGATGTTTCTTTATAATGTGTCTATGAATTATTTGCGTTCATCATTTGTGGTTCGTTAGTGTACTAAGTAAATTGAAGTTGATTCTTCGAACATTTTGTCTCTGATGCTACATTATGAGTTCTTGTCAATTCCATAGTGTAAAATTTTGTAATTTCTTTCTGGACATTGTTGGATTCTTTCCTCCTCCTTCTCCACCGAACTCTCGTCTCTCGCTCACAAACTTCGTATCAATGAAGAGCTGGGTTTCAAAGCACAAGCTTTTGGGTTTTTTGGCTGGTAAATAACTATCAAATCCTCTGTAGTCAGTGTTTGCAAACTAACTAGATGGAAATCTGCTTCTTTTTACTTTTGTTCTCTCAGTTCCTTTCGCCCCTCCATTTATTTATGGATCCCAGAGAAGTGATCTATTAAAATAACTAACGATACATATGAAGGAGAAATTACAAGAGTGAGATCTAACCGAGTTAGAAGTGGGGAATTTCCTAACAATAGGCTTTACAAAGGTTATAACGTAAATCCCAATTTTTTTGCTTTAGACGTGATGGACTTATCCAACATCCAACATATGATGGATAATTCAAAAGATATTTTGCTGGAGCACCTCAGAATCTAGGATTCTTCATTAACTAGACTAAGATAGAAATGCATGATGTGCCCTTCAAGTCACGGTAAGAAATATTATCGCCTGAATCAATAAGGAATGCAATACATAAGATACTAGTTGGTGGGATGAAATGGAGAATGACTACACAGATTCTATATGATTAGATGATACCTTATTAAAAGAGAAGTTCTATCAAACAACTATTGGACTACTATGCTTTATAATGCTGAGAATTGGAACATTAAATGATAAAATGTCCACAAATTGAACTTAGTAGAAACGAGGATGTTAATAATGATGAAAACAAACTAGAATGGATAAGATAAGAAATGAGAATATAAATAAATGGTTGAGCACAATCAAAGTATTGAGTTGAACTCTTCTTTGGTGTCTATGAATTGTTATCGACTTTTGGGGAAGGAAAGATGACTGGGACCTCCCATGCACATACATGCACAGTAGATGTATCATCATTATGTTTTAACCAGCTAGTTCTATTCTTCGGTTGATAGAAATATAATTTGAATCACAATGCATAATACCATAGTTGTACATTTATACAAAACATGTACCCCAAGCACTTGCATCGGCAACCAATCAAAGATGATCAAAGGAGAGCGGCTTAGATGGAGGGCGCATGTCTTTCATAAACCTAAAAGACTAAGTAGTAAGTAGAGTGACAAAAATCTCCCAACAAGTTAGAATAGGGAGTAGGTGACCAAGGTTAACATGATGCGAACTGATTTTCAAAGATTTGATTTGATTTAGCCCTTGTTTTTTTTTTTTTCAAAGTCATTTTCTTTCTCAAACTCATTTTCAACAACACATTTTCCTACAAGTAATTTTGTACGTGGACCCATAACTTTTCCCTATTTTTTAACTATACATTCTCAAGTAAATCACTTTTCACAAAATCGCTTCTCTGAAAATAAAAATCAAACAAGCACTTAATTAAGAACAGAGAATCCAATATTGAATAGAGTGACAGAAGAATTTATGTGGCTGATTTTGTTAAGCATTTATCTACCTCTTTAATCTCTACATAATCCAACTCAGATTTTCCATTACTTAGAGTTAACTTATTGCAGTGAACGGCATTTTAATGTTTTACTGTCTTTAAATGCTCAAGCAGCTTGTTCCTTGCTTTAATTACTTTTTGCATTTTAAGACCATAATCATGGAGGCAGAGTTAATTTCTGTTTTCAGAACTTTTATAAGCGATCATTCAGGAATTTCTTCTCTGCAGCATCTATACCAGTGAAAAATATGGAGGGGTTAAAGCTCCTTGTAACTGCTGGGCCCCAAGCTCAGAAAGCTGTTGGTATTTGGCTTTTTGTATCTGCTGCTTGGGTCTTTAATATGGTGGTGCTCAGTGCTGTCACACGACTAACCAGATCAGGTCTTTCAATGACTGACTGGAACTTCACCGGAAGCCTTCCTCCTATCTCGGATGAAGAATGGTTAATTGAGTTTGAGAAATACAAGCAATCTCCTGAATACACTTGGTAAATCCACATGCCACGTAGTTTGCATTTACATTTAATTATTAATTTAATCTGCCAGTCTTCATATCTCAGAGTGTCTGAGTTTCTAAGTTCTTAAAGATGGACGGTGTGAGTTCATCTTCTTTTCTATGAATTATCTTTTTTCCTTCATTTAATGTTTTATTGGAGGGTTTTGTTTGGGGTGGGGGTGGGGGTGGAGGGGTAAGGGTTAGGGTTAGGGTGGGAGGGAATGTAGAAAATGAAAGTTATGTCAAGAACTGTGGAAAATACCTCGATCAGCCACCAATGTCCTGAATGCATTTATTGGGGATTCATGAACAAGCAAAAGACAAAAATAAATATATTGGTCTGCTCTCTGAATACAAAGGATCCCTCTACCCCTAGAACTGCCAAGCTATTTATAGTGATCTGATCACTATGTTGCTAAGTAGCACCGACACGGACACGAGTGTCCGACACGATACGTGTCGGGCACGCCGACACGCGATTTTTAAAAAAAGTTCCGACACGATAAGTTGCCGACACGTTGATTACAAATTTTTTTTTTTTTATGTTATTTTAATTTTATATTCTAAATTAATAATTTTTTATACTTATTGAATTATACATATAATGATAAATAGAAATCAAACTGGACATTAAATTCATAAATGTTTTTTAATAACATAAGTTCAAAAAGTAAAAACGAAATTAATTACATCATTCTTCTTGAATCTCTTCAACATCTTCATCTTCATCCACAAATACTATCGCCTCCAATTCCGGTTCGTCTAGAGATAAATTAGC